AAAAAAAAAAAAAAAAAAATTAACCCTTGCAAACATAAAACTAAACGAAGTATACACAAATAAGTGAGTTCTGCGGATTCCTAAAACGGTACTACGGTTTAACTCACTGTATACTGTTATATTTTCATACGGTAAATGGAATATCAATTTTCAAAAAAAAAAAAAGAGGAAAAAAATCCGAAGAAAATTTCCAATGATAAGTAAAATCCAACGAAAAAAAAAGCGTACCACTGAAGAAAAAAGATAACAAGTTTAAAATTTTTGAAACAACTGAAATGTAGAAGGAAAAAAAAAGAGGAAGTGTTCAAAAGTAAAGAACAAGAAAATAAACGCCAATTTTTTTTTTTCTGTTACCTACTACCTCTAAAAACTTTACCGGTCACTTTTGACCAACAGAATACAAGCAACAGAACACTTTTTTTTTTAGTTTACAGCCTAAATAACGCCCAAATATAAGAAAAGTTTCTCCTTTTTGAAGTTTCCTTATAGGCCATTTAGCGATCATCACAAACAAAAAGCATCAAAATTCTGTGCAGTATCCTGGAGGAATCCAAACGAACTAGACGTCCACTATTGATAATGAACGGCAGAAACACTACAGAATATTTGGTTCTGTTGCGGAAGTACAAAGTGAGGACCAAAAGTGTATCAACATCAAGCGGATGAAGTGTTGTCGTTGTCGCTGTTGTTGCCGCTTTTGTTGTTGTTGTCGTCGTCGTCATCGTTAGCGCTGTAATATCATCATCAGACCACCGGAGACAGTAAAAGCGATGGATACAGGAGAGGTCAATGGGTAGCCAACCGGGCACGCAAATGTTTTGAATCTACCGCGCTTCACAATGTGGCGCCCATTTCAATTGTAGCACCCCAAAAATCCAACAGCACCCAAAAATTGCATACAGCGCCGGTATGGGCGACAACAGCGGTGGCGGCGGCCGCGGCGGCAACAGCAACGACAACTGCAACAGAAAAGATCATTACCGACAGAATCGGTCAAACCGGTGACTTAATATACACAGATAGGACGTCTTTGATTTCATTCGATAGGATAAAGAAAAGTGGACAAATGACGTGTCATCAAAAATTTGTAGTATGCACTTATGAACTGTTGATATTACCTTAAAAACTGCTTCATAGTTTTGAATTGCTGTTCGCTGATTTCTTTTTGTTTTATTTATCAAAATTGTTGAACAACAAAACTTTTTGTTTTATAGAAAACAAAAACAGGAACTGTATAATATCCGCTCTACAACAATGGATATTATTTGTTTGTCTTGGGCATTAAACAGCATTTAATACAGCACCTATGTCGTACAACAACCCAAGTAACGATAACATCAATTAATTGAATGAATGACATTCGATAGAATAAAGATAAAAAAAGTTTCAGGTATAAAACGAATAATGTGAAGGAAACAAAGTAGGTAATTGTTGAAAAAAAGCTTAAAGAAAGCTAAAATCCATTGAATTTTCCTTTGCTTCTGTTTTTACCAACTACGTACAAGTAAATTTGAAAATTTATCAAATTTTGTCTCGGGCAGTAAAGCAGTGATCACCAACTGTCGGTTTATACAACTGACTTCCATCGGTTTGTTAGCTACCAATGGTTAACCAAAGAAAAAAACTGGAGAAATAGTTGAGTTATATTGAGAATTGTCTGAATTTCACGATTGATAGTCATTCGTTTTTGGGCACTGTTACTCTGGCTGGTAGGTTTTAAAACTAAAAATAAGCATTTTTTTTTT